CATTGAGGGTATTATGCAAAGTGAAATAAGTCAGAGGGAGAAAGTCAAATACTGTATGATTTCCCTCATTAAGTAGTAGATAATAACAACAATAAACAAACACATAGGGACAGAGATTGGATTGGTGGTTTCCAGAGGGGAAGGGGGAGGGAGGAGGGCGAAAGGGATAAGTGGGCACATGTGTGTGGTGATGGGTTGTAATTAGTATTTGGGTGGCGAACATGATGTAATGTATGCAGAAATAGAAGTATAATGATGTACACCAGAAATTTATACAATGTTGTAAACCAATGTTACTGCAATAAACAAAAAATTAAAAAAAAAAAAGGAAATGAAAAGGCAAGTTTCAGCCTGGGAGAAAAAAAAATATAAGTATAAATATTCAGTTAAGTCATATATATATATAAAATGAGATGGTAGTTTTCCCTTTGCGTAGAGGGGAAAGAAAATTTGATGAACCCTAAGGAAGGAGAGGCCACGTTTGGACTAATTTTAATTCTCAGAAGAATAGAGGATGTATCCATGAGATTCAGTGGCTACTCTTGGCCCTAACCTTCCTGAAAGCCCATTAGCTGGAGCATCCAGCCGGCCGGGCTCAGTGGATTCTTTCTGGCTGAGTGACTACGCTGCCCCTGAGCCTGCTAGTCTGGGGACCAGGCCTCAGTGTTTGGAGGCTCTGTCAGATGTCACTCTGGAGCAGGGGATCTCCCAAAACGATCTGCAGCCCTGACCTCTGAGTCCTCTAATCTAATTTTTTTTTCTTTTTTTTCATATCTCTGGAAAATAAACCAGAATCTCCTCAGTATTTGACCTTTGCTCTTGTGTTCCTGACCAGAGACAACAAGCTGTGGTCAGTACCCCCCACGCAGGCTCTGGTGACAGCCGTGTGGAATCTGAGACAGCTGTGGGTCACTATCCGGGGATTCAGGGCCCCTGGGCCTGGGGCGAGTGTGTGCGTCCGTGAGGCACATCAGAGGGCCCAGCAGAGACTGTCCCCAGAGCACGCGTGCCCCTCCGTCCTCTGGCCTCCTGCAGACACTCTTCTTAGGTACCAAACTGGTCAAATCTGAAATGAATAAGGAAGAGGGTCCTTGCAAACTCTAAGTCCCAAACTTAGTTTCAAATCAAAAGTAGAACCAAGACATTTGGGCGAAGATGAAGTCAACTCGTTGCTCATTCAACAGCTGACAGGAGAGCAGCCGGTTGTATTGAACTGAATGGATGAGGCTCGCCAGGGATGGCGCTTTCAGCCCCCGGAGATCAACTTGCTAAAATGACTTGAAGGAAACGCAGACTGGGTTGGTAGTAGCGGCCGCAGACAGGACTTAGTTCAGTAATCTCTCTGTGGAACTGGGTTTCTTCTCTCCGCCCCGTCACATACCGCTTAACCCACACGCCCCGAGGCCTCCAGTAAAGGCGTTCTCTGAGGGTTGTAGTAGCAGCGCTGAGATTTATAAGGTCAACAGAGGATTTGGACATGGCCTCGGCCGCTGTGCACACCATGGCCACACGAGGGCGCCGAAAGCCCTAGAAATTGTCCGCAAAGGCCCAAGTCAGCTTTGGGTCCGCAAATCATGTGCTTGTCTGAGCCCCTCTCTACGCTTCCAGATTTCAGACTAACGCCCACCTGCCCCCATCCTGGAGCCTCTACTCTGATCAACAACAGCTCGCTGGTCACAGCCCCTCTGAGGCAGGAGTAGACTGAGATGCCAAGACCGGCAAAGGCAGAGGTCCTTGCGGCAGGAGGCCCTGGGCTCGCCAGACCTTGGACAGCCCCTCCACCGCCGTGGGCGCCGAGGCGCCGGACTCAGCACAGCGGCCTTGTTCCCGTTCCGTCACCGGCTGCTGGGCTGTCAGGCAAAAGCACTCCCGGGACGGTCTCCTGCAGGGAAGTCAGAGGCTTTCCCGTCAGCTTACGGGGAGGGGCCTTGCAGATGGTTCATAAGCGGGATTTTTAGGGATGAACAGGGATCAGAAATTGAGAAAGAAAGGTTAATAGGTAATAAAATGGACTCCCTAGGTGGAAATAAAGAGGAGGAGGAAGGCAGCTGGGCCAGGTACCTAAAGACTACCCGTCCCTTGGGCTGGAGTCTGTCCCAAGGCAGAGAGCTGCACTTGAGCAAGAGGACTGTGTTTACTCTTGCGTTTATGCTGCTGTTTATTTCTTGCTGTTATTAAGTATACAGCAAAGTTAGTTTTTGGGAAAAGCGCTTTAGTTAGCTCTGCTAAGGGAAACCCAAGAAAGAAGCTGTTATTTTTCATTATTAACATGTTTGTAACAGGGGAGGAAAAACTGTATGAGGAATTGGCCTGGTGGCTCAGCAGGACAGTGAGCGGCCAGTCCCGGAGGACAGAGGACTCGGGAAGATAGTCAGGGGCGCTCCTCAGAACAGGTGGAAAGTTACAGAGTTTTCCTATAGGATAGATTCAATTACTTAAAAGTAATCTCTGTAAAGCTAATCTAACTGCCTAGTTCTAATTTGGTTCTACAGCACAGACCTCTCAAACCTTGATTCTCCCTCTCAGCCTCTTCCCATCTGTCCATGGAAACCTCATTACCTGCCTCTTACCCTGGTTTCTCACTGCTTTCTTACATCCCACGGACCTTATTATACCTGAGAAAACAGCACTTCTTCTTTTATCCCCAAGATGGACAAGGGGACTCTCTTCCTCATACAGGTTTATCTTTTCTTGATTATTGTCATTTGTCTATGAAGATACCAAAATCCAGGTTAATGTGATTTCAGAAATGAAAGGTCTGTGAGTTTTGGGCTGTCGCTAGGTGGCGGTGGTTTTGGGGATGGGCAAAGCTGAAAAGCTCGAGCTTCCTAATATTCTGATATTTTGTATTTGATGGTCAAAATGAAGAATGATTTCATAGTCACCTGGAACAGAGTGGTATCCGCCTAGAAAGGACATTTTCTGATCCATCTATTGAGGAGAATAGATTTCTTTTAGTTCTCTCCCTTCCCTTTTCCTCCTCTCTTACCTCCCCTCTTCTGGTGAGTGTTTTCTGACCCTCTGTTTCTCTGCTTCCATTTGTTTGTTGACTAAGTGCATGATCACAAGGAAGAGAGAAAAAGGCAGTGTAAGGACTGATTCCAATGTTTCAAGTCTTCCTGAAACACATATTTGAAAAGGAGACTCTTTGGGGGAAATGGTAGTAAAATCCAGTCTCAGATGTTGCATTTGAGATGAAAGCCAGGCTACTAGAAACATTAAGTCACTAAGTTTAACTGGGCTCAACTGAGTCAAGTGGATAGTGGACGCCTTCTAACCTGGAAGGGCTGCAGAGAGAATAACGGGCTGAGAATTCACTTTTCAGAGTAAAAGTAGGGAAGGGAGAGGAGACGTGATTACAGCCTCGTGGGGTCTAAGGGAGAGGAGTGTCAAAGAGAGGAGATTACCAGTGTCCTCAGCTGCCGAAAGGAAGACAAAGATCAGAGAAAGCCAGGAGCTTCCGGTAGTGAGGAAGCTGCCGATGGTTTTGGAAAGAGGACCTTCAGTGGTGCAGTGGGGCCAGAAATGTGATTTCAAGGAGCTGGGGAAGGACAGGGTGGTCGGGAAATGAGGCAACGATGGCAGAAGTTACTTGAGATGGAGAAGATGTTCAAGGGAGGTTCGGGATAGGGAGCAGATTTCTTTTAGGTCAAGGAGACCTTGACATGATGTACATAAATGCTCATTGCAGGAGGGAAGCAAAATGACAATACCAGTGATTTGTGTTTTTTATACAAACATACCAGTATTCATATAAATATTTTATTTAAAAATTATTAAGAATTCATAAGATATAGATCGGTGAAACTAAACATTTAATGTATTTCAAACACACCCACAAGTGTTAACGTTGCAGAATGTTCTTTTGGCTGCTGCTGGTTCTCTGCTTCCTCCAACTTCAGGGAACCCTCCAGGTTGCCACCTCTGGTGTGGCTGGTCAAGGAAGGCTTCAAGTCCTTCCCGCTATTAGCTCCTCTCCATGTAATTTTCAGGACCACCCTCTCGGGGCAGTAACCATGTTTCTTAACTTTGTTTCTATGGATTGCTTCAGAGTTTGAAGGACTTATATATGCTCTTTGGAGCAATTTGTTTCTTTCTCAACCATAGCTTTTCCTCAGACATTGTGTGCAACTCTCTTTTCCTGTTCTCTCGGGACTTTGTCTTCCCCCCTGCTCTCCTCTCTCTCTCCTCCTTTCTTTCCTTCTGTGCCTGGTTGGTGCCAAGCTATGTGCTGGGTGTCAAGGTGTGTGCTAGGTGCTAAGGTGCTGGGCCTGTGGACTCCCTTCTGCTTTCTTATATTATCCTGAAAGTATTTCATGTTCATATAACTATTATCTTCAAAGAAATTTAAAGATCTCAGGGAGAAAAAACTATGCTTTACATATCTTCTATATTCATTGCTTAGTAATGTACTGGGTATATAGCAGATGCTCAATTAGCTTTGAATATATAATAAATTTATTTGTAAGTAGGGTTGAAACTCTATTTGAATATATGTCTTTCAATCACTAAAGAAGGATAAATTTGTTTATCCTTGTATGAATCAATTTTCTTTTCCTAATTTATTATATTATCAATTTCATATGTAAATTACAAGAATAAATATTTTTCACTTTAAAAATAAACTCTTAGTGTCAGGCAACTTGGTCAAAGGTAGAGAAGGGAGAGGAGCAATCAATGTCTTTAGAAGGCAGGTTACTGAGCACTATCCATAGTCGTATGTCCTTTGAGCTGATATGTGCTTTCCAAAACCATCCTTGGTTCTCTTAGGATTTATGACACATTGTAAATATCAATAAACAAAGTGTCATCTGAATGCTTTAAGATGTGAGGTTCATCCATTTCAAGAGATAATCACATCAGAATGGAGGATAAAATGGTGGAGTCTAAATTATTTGTAAGCAACCCGGCTTGAGGACTCAGGGCCCTTGAGTCGAGTTCTATGACTGCCATAAGTTTTCTATAGAACCCTAGATAAGTCGCTTAACAACCTCTTGGCCACAGATTTTTTCTCTATGAAATAAAAATAATAATACTTGTCATGCATGTCTCTTGTTGATTTCATTAAGACTTAAATTAGGTAAAAGATGTAAAACTACTTTGAAAAACTTATAGCATTGAACAGATGTATGGTGGTGTTTTGCTTTTGCTTTGGTTGGAAACAGAATTATGTCTTTGAAAAGTAATTTCTAAATTTACAAACACATCACATTTAACTGTTAGACTGTATGCATGTTGCCAAACATCAAAAGCAAACTGTGCAGATGTTTGGTCTACCAACATGCCAACCAGCTGGGGGTTTCCCAAAGCAGCAGTTCAGTTGCTATCATAGCAATGTTTTCTTAATAAATAATTCTATGACCTCTGATAAATTCAACGGAAAAAGTTTCATTTAGATTGGTTATTTGGTGATATACCAATTACACACAGCCTTTAAAAATTGCCCGAATCTCTAAGCAACTTTTCTGAAGATAAAGATCGTTTTATGATGAATGAGGAATCATTTAGAAATTGAAAGTTATGTAATAGGACATTTTAGCTGAGCAAGGGCTTGGGACTTAGACAGTGAAGCTACTTGGAGTTAGATGTCACCCATTCCCACGAGATACACCAGCTTTTGGAGCTTGGATGCTATTAAATAAAATTGGAAAGGGACCTCTACTTCACCCCCCAGCCCGCATATCCAAATACTGTCTCAAGTAACTGAGGCAGAATATTCTTTTAAGGTGGAAAAGTATCAGGATCCTGACTCCTTGCCTTTGAGGTTTGTAGATATAAATCCATGTTGGATAGACTGGAGTAGCTGGGATCAAGGCAAATTTCAGAAAAATACAACAGGGAACTTTTAGAAAAAAAGCACTGAGAGGAAGAGGAAGAGCCAGACCACGCACCTGGACTTACAGTAGGTGAGAAGAGAGTGGAGAAAGGAAGGAGATCATATTTCTAGGCTAATAGAACCCATCCTACCCCATGACCTGGCCGTTCTGATAGCATTGGTGTGCCTTGGAGGAAATGGCTGCGTGTACATGCCTTAAAAACTTTATGTTTAAAGTGCTCTAATCAGTGATATGCTGGTAAATTTTTAACAGTTTGCTCTCTGGAAAAAAATGTATGTATGCATGTAACTACATACTTTTATTATAAATTTTACTGATATAAAGGATGTGTGGCATATAATTTTCAAATAATAATAAAATGTACAATATTCTTTATTATAAATTCCACATACCCATTGAATTCTCACAGGATACTGTCATTGATTTCTGTTGAACTCTTCTGTCTGTAGCCAAACTATGGTTGCAAATGACGAATGAATGTATTTCTGATATAAATATCAGTTGATGTCTATATTTACATGAATGAGTGAAATTGAAACATCAAAGAAAATGTATATTAGAATTTCACTCATTTGTGAAAGATGTGAGTAACTTCTTTGTTGGATTAGACAATAGTTTTCAAATACTGAGAGTAGTCTCAATTTTTTGTGCTATTCATGTTGCAATTGCTATAAAGACTCACCTTTTAAGTTTAATCTGCATTCTAAACATTCTCTCCATCACTTTCTTAAGTATAGACAATAAACAAAACAATAAATGATTTGTAGCATTTGCCTATTTCTGAAATAAAATTCTCCCACCATGGTCCATTTCAAGCTACCGATGTGACCTCACCGAACCTGGAGTAAGAAGAGGTGTACAGTATGGCACGGTTATATAGGATTCCCATCACACAGTTATGGTAGACCTAAATGACCAGAAGAGCAGAGGTTAGTAGGAAGTGATATGTTTTGAGTATGTCCTTTGCTTTTGTGATGCTTAATTCTATGCGTCTACTTCACTGCACCACAGGGTGTCCAGATTAAATAGTATTTATGGTTGTGTCTGTGAGGGTGTTTCTGGATGAGATTAGCATTTGAATCAGTGGATGGTAAAGCAGATTGCCCTTCTCAGTGTGGGTGGGGATCATCCAATCTGCTGAGGGCCTAAATAGGACAAAATGCAGAGGAAAGAGAAATTCACTTCTTTTTTCTGCCAGCCTGCCTGCTTGAGCTGGGATATCTCATCTCATCTTCTCCTGCCCTTGGACTGAATTATACCGTCAGCTCTCCTGGGTCTCCAGTTTGCAGATAGCTGATTGTGGGACTTCTTAACCTTCATAATCATATGAGCTAATTCTTTATAATATATGTATATTACATATAATGTGTATATATATATAATGTATATATATTATATATATTATACATTATATATATAAATATATAATATATATAATGTATAATATATATGTATTCTGTTTCTCTGGAAAACTCTGACTAGTATAGGTTTTAATATAATTTATTTAGTTATAAACTCATGCAAGTTGGTTTTTAGTAATGGCTGTGTTTTACAGCCTACTCATAGTATTCCTGAAAATTTAACAATTGACACACATGAGCCAGTACTAGCTGTCTCCAGAATACTACTACCTATAATCCTTGCAGCTCGGGAGTTGTACTATAAGAAGCCTCTACCTCAGCATGAGTAAGGGGGAAATGTGCCTACAGAAACCTTTTTTCTTGGAGACATTGGCTGGAAGTTTGTATCGGATCAGGGGACGATGGAGGTGTTGGCAAGTCATGCCTCAGGCTGTAGCACGGCTATCAGCAACGTCTGAGGTGCAGCTTCAGCTGCCAACACTGGTAGGGCCAAACGCACCAATGCTGGTGAGGCAATGAAGGGGAGACAGCCAACACCACCCGGCAGGACATTCTGGGAGCGATTTGCTCAGAAGTATGTCTAAGAGCCTGTTCTCCCAGCATAGGCATCCATGGGAATTTGAGTAATTTTTTTGAGTAATTGTTAAAAAGTATTTGGAGAAAGAAACCTCAAGAAGAACTCTGGTCTTCTTGTGTGACTGGCCTCAAGTCATTTCATTTGGCGCATAAAAAATGACCTTCTTTCTTCATCTCCATATGATGATGCCCGGCTATCTGTGGCAATACTGACAAATGACCAGAGGGAAAGTGGTCTAATTATGTGAGGCTTTAATACCTAACACAAACCTGCAGTGAAGCTCAAAAATATTCATTTTTTAAAATGACCACACAGAAAAGCCTCAAAAAGTTGTGTTTTATTCAGTGACATTATGGTTCATTAAATCAATAGATGAATGAAGCATTCCTTGATGGCTCAGTTAAAATGTTAGCAATGCAGACTTCTCAAAATTAACAATATATGTGATAGTAAAAGAAGTGTAAGGGACTATACATGATAAAATAAAAATGGTTATATTTAATTAATCTTGACACCATGTAGAACAGTGTCACACTTCTAAGAGCAAGGCCCGGGAAGACTGAGGAGAAATAAACGGCACGTGAACTCCGCTCTCCTTTCTTCTGCCACAGGCCTCACTCCTCAAGTGGTCTTGTTTTTTCGTGGACTATCCCAGCAAAAGGAAAGTGGGGCTAAGATACAAATCACTGTACTTTTACAATTCCGGATCGACGCTGCGTGAGTCAGCGGTGCATTTTGAGGTGTTCGGTCCAAAGAGCAGAGCTAAACAATAGCTTTACGATCCTTAAAAATACATTCAAGACCCGATCTTAGAAAACAGGCAACTTTTCTAAGCCCAGCTATTCACCTGTTTGCTGGGCTGGTAAAAATACAGCAAGTATAATGACAAGTGAAAAGCAAGAGATATCTAAGTACAAAGGTGAAAATACACAAGATTCCTGGCATGTTTAGATTTCTTGATTCTTGTCCTGGCAAGTAGCATCTCAATGAAGCAGAGTTTTTGATTCATTCTCTGATTAAAAGAAAAAATAAGTTTGGAAGCCATGATTATTATAAATTATAAAATATTATGTAATAATGAAAACGAACATTTATAGAATTAAAATAATACTGACAACCCTACCGAGAGACAATATCATTAGCTCCATTTTACCAGTGAGATAACCAATTAAATAACTTGGCATAAAGTCCTACAGTTAGTTTGGGCAGAACTAAGAAAAGATTTGAAGTTTCCTGAATCCAAGTCCAATTTTCTTTAATGATACTAAATTGCCAACTTTGCCCAGTAATGGGGCATGCGTATCTATTGTTCCAAGCCCATAAAGAGTTGAATGGATATTTTTCGAGATGCTATGCTTCTGGGCTCTTTGACAGAATAAAAAGATGGACACAATTCCAGAATTCCCTGCAGAGTGGGTCACACCAGGGATTCAGCAGGCCATGTTAAATGGTGCTTGGTAAAGGAATGAATGATGCTCCTTATCTTACGACATTGCTGGTCCTTTCCTGAGGAAGTGATAGTCGATGATGTTTGAGTCAATGATTCCCTTTATAATCTCTCTGCAGGTTCAATTCCAGAAAAGATTCAGGAAGAGGGGTACAATAAATATAGTTTAGCCTTAGTCTTTCCCCAATTTATGACTTTTTGTTGTTGTTATTGCCATTTTTAAGATTCAGAGAGTATTTTTCTCTGAAACAAATACCATATTCAGATCAATTGGGTTCCATAGCCCAACTTATATAGGATTGTATAAAACCCAAAAATAATACATGAATTATGGCTTATTGAGACACTTTAAAAGGAATAAAACTGACAAATCTTATAGTGTGTTCTTAAATGTTATTGATTTTCTGTCTACCTCACAAATTACAACTATCAGCTCTTCATCAAGAATAAAATTTGCTCATCAATCAAGGCTTTTTTTTTAAACAAACTTTTCTTTCTCTCATCTTAGTTTGTATTAAACTCATCACTACCTAATAGAATTTATACAATTTTAAGCACAGATTTCATCAGTCATAGTCTCACAAGTGACAAAGTAGCCATTTTTTCCATTAGTATATTAGAACAGACACAACTTTGAGTTATTTATGTTCATAATAGTGGCTTTGTTTTCCCTTGTGAAATTTAGCCATTTTGAAAAAATAAAATAAATTGTGTTTTAGTGTATTATAGAACTCTGTGGCACACTTTTCTCAAATCTGAAATAAAAGTGAGAAAATATTTGGGAACAAAGAAAGAAGAAAAAGGTCTTACATGATACGGTTCAGAGTATCTTCTCCACAATCAGCTTCAGATTTTAACTTACAAGCCGTGGCCTCACAGCAAGGATTGGCACATTCCTTTAAAGCCCACACACAATAGGAAAGTGGAGTCAGCGCTTTTTTCCTACAGACTAGGTGCAGAGAATTCTCGTACAAGATGACAATGAATTTTCACTTTTTAAACTAAATTACTCTGCTATACAAATTCCAGTGGAAGTGACCAAGGAAATTTGAGAGTAAAAAAAATGTTAAGAGTAATGAAAACTACTTCTTCAAAAGACAAAAAACAGAATTATCCAATAATTCACTCCAAATAAATTTGACTTAGATGGTATTACATGTAAATTAATTTAAAACTTTAAGGGAGAATATTTATATATTATTCAAACTGCTTGAAGATAGAGAAGAAAATTTTAAATCCTCAATTCCTCAATTTTACCAAGCCTGCATAATTCTGATAATGAGAACTGGTAATGAATACACACACACACACACACACACACGCTATTCTCATTTATGAATATAAATGCAAAAACTTGAATAAAATATTAGTAAAACACCAGTTTATTAATATAAATAACTCTCCATTACAACCATGCAGAGGTTTTTTCACCAAAAATGCAAAGGTGTCTCAACTGTACAGAATAAGGTAATATAATTCATCATATTAAGAGATTGAGGGAAGAAAACAACTAATATTATTGTGATAGATGGCAAAAATTTAGTAGCCATTATTGAATTATTTAAGCTTACGTAAGTAAACTATGAACAGAATTATGCATCATCATGATAAAGAAAATCTATCTGATGAATAGCAAAAATATATCTAATAAAATAAAGTATAAGACAAGGATTATGTATAGCCTATATTTTTATGGAAATTCTGACAAATGCCATGAGACAAGGAAAACATATAAAAGTCTAATAATTGGAAAGTATAAATCACATTTTCATTATTTGTATGTGATAAAATTCTTGATCTTGAAAAAACAGAGAATCAGCTCTAAAAACGTTGGACAACTCACTAAGATAGCTGCTTAAGATAATAAAATAACATCAAAAAGAGTAATAAATTAGAACCTAAATTAAAAGAGAAAACATTACACATACTAATAGAAAAAGGAAACATTGACAATGCTTCAGAATAAACTTTCAAAGTGTGCAAGAACTACACGAAGGACTTTATCTAGAACTTTCCTGAGAAACTTTAGAGGCAACTTGTCTTTTAAGACAATATTTAATATCACGAAAATGTCAGTGGCCTTCAGAGTGAAATACGAATTTAATGCATTACATCAGAATCTCAGTTGTATTTGTGGGCAAACTGACAAAAGAAAAATACCAAGAGTTATATGGAAGACTGAACACTGAAGAATTACTATGCAAATTCTGCCAAAAAAAAAATACATTGTATAGTTACAATTATTATAATAGCATGATGCTTTCGTGATAATATCTAGACAGATAGGTAGAATGATTATTTTTAAAATCTAGGAAAAGACCTAAGTATGTACACAAAAATAATAAAATAGCATATCAGATCATGGAAAACTGGATTATTAACTAAAGGATACTATATGAAGTATATATACTACTTTATGGATAAGAACACAGTTATTTGAGAATCCAGTTGTTCATGAGCCTGAACTCTCTAGTTTTATTCAAACTACATAAGTAGAAAATCAACAAGATATGGAAACAATATAGGAGCTGGCTGATATACTTAAAGAATATTATATCTTACATATCATATAGACAGTAGTTCTCTCTCTCTATTTTGTCAATTTGCACTGAATACGTGCCATTTAGGATTATGAAAAGCTTCAATTGTCTTCCACCCGAGAAACCATATGGGAATGCAAGCAAGTAAGAATGAGATAAACTTAAATCTAGCTTATTATAAAGTATCAAATCATTTGTAAAACTCCATGTCTCATTGTAATTAACAGAATATTTGCCATACTCTTTACAAATGATTAAGTTACAACATGCAATCTTCTAATATAATTCAACTGCTTAAAATTTCTGAATCAATAAACTGAAACATAGAGAAATTGTATGCCTTCCCCATTGTCACAGAGCCTCTTAAAGTAATGGATAAATCTTGGGTTGCAACAGCTTCACCAGTTACTGGCTTTGTATCCTTGGAACTAGTTATCAACCTTTCCAAGTCTCACTTCTTCTCTAAATTGAGATAATAACAAAACCTATTTTTTAGGTTTGTTGTGAGTAGTAAAAGAGAGGGTGTATATAAAAGCATTTTGTAGATTGTCTGACACATAGAAAATCTCTTCAAATATTAACTCATTTTTTTAGTCTTAAAAGTAAAAGAAGATTGCTAAGAAAACAGAAGCCTCTCTTTTAGAAACCTAATATGGGATTGCTAGTGAACATTTCAGATTTTTATAAAGATTACAGAATTATAGTAATTATCTTAGATGTTCTATGTTAATAACCCATTTTCTACAGGTCTATGTGATTTTTCTTTTTTCTCCTTTTCGGTTTTATTTTCTGCCTGGTTTACACACTGGCCTGATGAGATGAGGCCAGCTCTTCTAGATCTGTAATTGTTACTGCTTAACAAATGATCAGCTGCAACTTTATGTGATTTAGGAATTTCTGACTAACATATCTAGGAAAGTTCATAGTTAATGATGTGCTTCTTGACACTGAACTTCATACAATCATGTCACAAGCATATCCTGGCTTTTGAAATGCCTTTCAAAAGATGACTAAAATCAGTACTAAAAACACAAGTGCAAGTCTACTTTTTACTATGATGTCAAGCTTGTCTTTAGAAAGAATTTCTGAAATAACATTTTTTAAAAAGAAAACAGTGTAATCTTATGCTGCAATAACTCTCTAATAAATTTTTTAATTATGGATATTTTCATACCTTAGGAGACCCACAATCACAGTCTTCTCCTACTTCCAGAAGTTGGTTCCCACACACTGGTTTTGTTATTATATTCGTAGGAATTGGTGCTTGCAGCAGGCACTTTGGTTTTTGAGATAACATGTATTTTTTAAAATGTGCACGGCAGGAGGTACTGAAATCCTTTGGGAATTTTGAGCTGTAACCAGAAGAAAAACCAGAAATACCGTGATACACAGTGATAAATGAACATGAGAATCTGACTTGTCTAACTATATTTATTACCTGGGTCAAAGGAAATTTCAAATTTAGTATCTGTTTAGGACGCACCGTGTTATATGTGGAGGGCAATAGAACGTGCATTCTATGCCAGTTGGAAAATGTTTTTCCCAGATACCCAGTCATAGAGCTGGAAGAATTTAAATTCCCATATGGATTCACTACTGTCCCAAATGGCAGCAGTGATGAGTCTCACCATTTGTTACCATTCACTCATCTCCCCTTTAAGGGCTGAGAGGTAAGCAATAATAATAATGAACTACTGAAAAGACATAATAGCAAACTTAGAGGTTCTGTGGACATATTTCTCTCCCCATTCATGAGCACTTCAAGTTCAAGGTATGTTTTATTAATTTTTCTACCCCAAGTCCTTGTAAGGTGACTGGCATTAGAAGGTAATTAA